ACGTGGAGCAGATGCTGTTAAGGGTGTCCGCAAATATGAGAGGAGAGTGAAGGAGCTCACCTATCAGGTAATTTATTCCACTGGTGAAGTTAATTTACTCAAGTACTTGTACTTTCAGTATTTCCATTTCATGCTAATTTAGACTACATTTCAGAGGGTAAATAATAAATAATAATAACTTTTTACTCCACAAAACATTTTTGACACTCTTTAAACCCACACGTTTCCAATTAGCCTCTCTGATTAGACGTCTAGTCAGGTATAAGTTGGGTGGAGCTATGCTGGGAATTAAACCCGATTACTCTGCTTAATGAGTACTTCTGATACCTTTAGTGATTGTATCTGAATACAGGACTATTATTACTTGTAACAGAGTATTTTTACACTGTTGTATTACTACTTTTACATAAAACATCTAAACACCATTGCAAGGACTTGATTCTGCTTTAACACTCAATAAGTGACCCTTTTTTATCTGTATAGACTGAGGAGGACAAGAAGAATGTGACCAGACTTCAGGATCTGGTGGACAAGCTGCAGCTCAAAGTCAAGGCCTACAAGAGACAGGCTGAGGAGGCTGTAAGTCAACTACAATAATGTGACTAATCATGCAGCTTAATTATAATAATATCACTACTTACAACTAAATCAATATAACTCTAAACCCTTCACAGGAGGAACAGGCAAACGGCCACATGTCCAGGCTTAGAAAGGTTCAGCATGAGCTGGAGGAAGCTCAGGAGCGTGCTGACATCGCTGAGTCCCAGGTCAACAAGTTGAGAGTCAAGAGCCGTGACGCTGGAAAGGTAACTTTTTCATTGTCTTTGACAGTGTTATATATCAACCCTATGCATATAATTCATCTATATAACCATGTTTTTTACCTTCCAATATGATACACATGTATAATAACCATATACAATAAGTTTTGACATTCCATAAAATGTAATGCATTGTTTTTTCCACACTGAATGTCACTGTATTCCTACTATAGTACATTCCTACAAACACTGCCTACAAGTACTTACTATTTCTCATTCTTTCAGGGAAGTGACTCTGCTGAATGAGATACAAGATCCAGCTGAGGCATTTTAATAGAGTTCATACAATATGAGCCCCTGAAATCTTTTTTCTGTAAATCTTCAATAAATGTTGAACATTTCTCAAGAATTCTGTTTTCTTTTCACCTTCTTGTTTGTCAACTCTGTAATCATGTAAAATGTTACAAATAGGCTCTAAGCTAATTTGTTGGTTATGTAGATCAAATAATTAAGAGCAAACATGAATTGGCAATCAGGTTTAATTTAGGTATTTCCGTTTGCATTGTTATACATTTTTTGACACTGTTTGCCAGAGTACTGGCTTTAATTTCCATCTACCTATAATTTCTCTTTTTGGATAAGCAGTAATAAAGCAGTAAGTAATAAAGCAATATTATTTTTAACTGTATACATTGCATTCCCATTTGAAAAAACAAAGCAATCAGTTTTTATCCACACCACTTAAAACAAAATAGACAATGTATACTGCATATATATGGAACATTTAACTAGCAAAGAAGAAAAGAAAAGCTTCAACAAATCACGTCAGTGCTGAAAATAAAAACAGCAAGAGCTAATACTTAGTGCGGGAATATGAAAACTACAAATATAATTTCATAAACATTGTTTAATCAATTATTTCCCAAGACAATTACGGACTTCTAACATTTTATCTCCATTATTTTCTTGAATAGATAATTGACAATGTGGCATACCTGACTATTGTTTATTTCCACCATCCTTCTTATCTTTCTTTCCACCCCCCTTTCCCTTTCCTTGCTCCCCTTTGCATTTTTGTCCTCCTTGAGCCATCCCCTTCTGCAGATGGGCTGTGTGAACCTTCTCAATCAGAGAGAAGCAGTCTTCCCCTGGACTGATAGGGCTGGTAACAGATTCAGGATGTGCTTCACTGGTTGCTCCTGGGTTAGGAGATGATGGCCTTGAGTGGGCTTTTCTAGGACTTGCATGGCTTGGAGAGCTGTGCCTGGACTTAATGTCTTCTTTAGGGACAAGGTTTAAGTTGAAGGACATGGGTCTGCCAGGTGCTGGGCTCAGTGGGATTACAACGTTTTCTCCAGGTGCTCCTAGAGTAAGGAAGACTTCTGGGAATGTACATGGTTGGTCAACATTTTCCTGTCAGGCAGATAAGAATCAAATAAGGTTTGATGATGGTACATGTGTTTTATTAAGACAAAGCCTTGGCCAATTAGCTCACAATATACACAAGCTGAGACACAGCTTACCTGCTGTGATGTGAAGCTCATGGACACCCTTACTGTCATCTGTAAAGAAATAGCATGTCATTGATTTATTCAAAGTGTTTCAGTGACTTTTGTTTAGTCTTTCATTCATTGGTGGCCGACTCCAGAAAAGTTTAAAGACTAGGCTTAAAAAAAATCAAAGCAGAGAGCAGAAGTAGCTTCAAGAAAGGAGCATCACATTGCCCCTGCTGAAACCCTTAACTGGTAGGGTATGGTCACTACATTTACATGCAGTAATAATTAAACAAATGACAGCAAATTAATGTGACATATATGACCGTGATTTATATTTATTTTTCTCTCCTGGCAGTCACACTTCTAATGAAGACAACACATTATTATTGTTATATTACTATTATTATTATTATTAATTATATTTGAGGTGAGCAATTTACCTGTGCTGGGGAATTTAGCTTCTTCTGATAATCTGTATCAGGAGTAAATGAAGCAGATTTAGGTAGGGCTCTGGGGGAGCCAGATTCTGCATAAGCCTTTTGGGGTTGAGAGGTTGGTCTGGGACAGTCTTTCCTTGGTGTTGTTGGTGTACTTTCAGCCACAGTAATGTGTGGTGGCTGTGTTGAAGCCTTGCAGAAGAAAAATGAAAACAAAGGCCAGTTCAGCTGTCAAGTATTCCGCCATAATAGCTGGAATTTAATAAATCATAACCAATTGTGAGTACAAGGCTGTTCATTAAGCAAATATGTCCATGCCCGTGGCATCAGCCATATCTAAATTTGGAGGCATAAAGGTGCTCCAAAATCTAATCAGCTTCAACAAGGGGAACCTGTGGTCAAAGTATGACATTTCAACCATGAATACTTCTTGAGTCAGGCAAACACTGTAAACACAAGAATGTGCCTGTACACTGACACACATCATGCCTTGTTTACCATTCACTATCATCAGTAATTTAAATGCTGTGTGACTTACTGGTGTTGTAGCCTTTGTATTTCTACCATTCTCTTTTCTTTCAGTGTTCCCACTTATCCCTGGCAGGGTAGGAAGTGTAACACGCTGATCATCTAGCCGTCGTCCCTGACTGGAGGAAAGGATTTTGAAGAATGCGTCAGCATCTGCACCTGTTATGGAGAGCCAAGAGTTATTTATGTGACATCTTAAAGAGAGACAATACTTGACCTGACTGTTTTTTTTTCTGACCTGTGGGTACATTATTTATAGCACTTCCATTGTGTGTGGGTGTGGCAGGTGTACTTCTGGGTTGTAAAGAGCAACGTTGCTCATCCATACGTCCACCTTGTGAATGACTTATCATTTTAAAGAGCTTTTCCTGCTCAGCTGGAGATGCCTCCTAAAAAATATTTAAACAAAGAAAAGCAATAAGTGGGACAACTCACAAACAACTTATCCAACAGACAATAAAATAATCAGGAGAAAAAAATGCATGACATCTTACCTGCTGATGTTGGTCAGTTTTGACACGGTTTAAGGAGGCAGAGATCTGGGTAGGTTTATCTGATGCATCTGAAATGGGGTGATCTTTACGCTGAGTAGATGGAGTACCCAAATTCTGGGAGATCTGGGGCGCAGAACATCTCTGTTCATCCATTCTTGAACCCTGTGGGCGGAAATTATAATATTTCTTGTTATGTTGGATCAAAGCAGTTGGATGTATTGTTACACATATTCTATATCTGCAACAACAACAAAAAAACTTGAAGACAAAAGACAAAAACTATCAATAACCGTTCACAGTGGTGTTTACACTATGCTATATATGGAACCAACCTGGACTTTGGAGACCATGTAACACAAGTAGCTTGTATCCTTCTCTGCAGCAGTAGATGTTGATGTGGTACCTCCATTCCGTACTCCTGGTAATGACGGAAGAGACACCCGCTGGTCATCAAGTCGACTGCCCTGAGAGTTAGCCAGAAGGTTGAACAACTTTTCAGAATCTAAATCTGGAAAGGTGAAAAAGCAACATATTGGTTTTATGATAAAATGTGTAAACAGTGATTACATTACAACATGAAAGACCACTTAATTAACATGAACATGTTTGCATTCTAACCTTTGGGCGGGGTGCTCTCACTGGGCTTATGTTTGGGTGTGGACTGGGCACTAACATTTAAAACACATCGCTGTTCGTCCATTCGCCCACGCTGGGAGTTACTCATTAAGGTAAACAAATCTTCCTGCTCAGGCGAAGCCAAGACCTGTGAAAAAAGTGTACAGGGCATATTTAGCTCAGTAAATAAATAATCTGAAATATAACTTAAATGCATACACAAATGGACATTCAGATTGCAGATCTAATATGAATTGTTGTTTTAAAATGTTAATATTTTTGTAATTTAATGTAATTTACCTCTTGGGGTTAAAAATGATAGCAGTAACTTGATCATATACCTGTTTTTGAAATTCTTTATCTTTACTCTTTGGTTGTTCTACGCCTGAGCTGGGGCTGAAAGAGCTTGAACGTGGAGAGACTATACCAGACATAGATTTATCGTTTTTTGAACTCTGGGTCTGCTGGGTTATTGGAGTTAGTGTGCACCTTTGGTCATCCATTCTGGAACCCTGAAAAGGCATTAGGCAATCATTATTGATCAGCAGGCACATTTCTTTAACACATGACATTCCACACAACATTGAGTTCATAATGGTTTTGTGTAATAATATGATTTTAAGAATCTACACTCTAGAGCCACACTGTCCACTGGTTAGAATTTTACAAATGAGATATCAGTTTTTTAATAAAACAGTCCTATGTGAAGACAGTGGCATGCTTTGACATGACATTGGGAGGAGTGACCTGCTTTCTGTAAATGTTAAATATGTTGTTCTTTGAAAAAGGAAAGGACTAACCTGGGCTTTAGAGACCATGTAACACAAGTAGTTTGAATCTCCTCCTGCAGTAGATGAGGCATTTTCATTCCGTACTCCTGGTAATGACGGAAGGGACACCCGCTGGTCATCAAGTCGACTGCCCTGAGAGTTAGCCAGAAGGTTGAACAACTTTTCAGATTCTGAATCTAGAAAGGTGAAAAAGCAACATATTAGTTTTATGATAAAATGCGCAAACAGTGATTACGTTACAACATGAAAGACCATTGAATTAACATGAACATGTTTGCATTCTAACCTTTGGACAGGGGGCTCTCACTGGGCTTATGTTTGGGTGTGGACTGAGCACTAACATTTAAGACACATCGCTGTTCGTCCATTCGCCCACGCTGGGAATTACTCATTAAGGTAAACAAATCTTCCTGCTCAGTCAAAACCTAGATGTGAAAAAAGTGTACAGTGCATATTAAGCTCAGTAAATAAATAA